TCTTTTCCTCTGGCCCCCCACATATCTGAAAAAGGACTTTTTATTGTCCTTGATACTCAAAGCTAGTTAGAGTTCAGTTGCAGCCTTGGCTTTCCTGGTTTGCTCCCTGCAGGACTGGACCAGTGCAGAATATTCCTCCTTGGAGGGGAATCCCATCCTCCATCCTTTGTAGGCCTTTCTTTTTAGCCTCAGGAGGTCTGCTAGATCCCTGGAGAGCCAGGGGGGCTGCTGTGCCCTCTTGCTGCCTTTCCTCCGAGATGGAATAGACTTAGTTTGTGCATTGAGGATCGCTCCCTTGAGGATCAACCACTCTTCCTGAACTCCCCTCTCCCTGGGGTCGTGGACCCTTCTGGCCTCACTGACAAGCCTCCTGAGCTTGTCAAAGTTGGCTTTCCTGAAGTCAAGGACTTCAGTGTTGCTGACTGACTTGCCAGCTTTACAGGGGATGGGGAAGGTGATCAGCTCATGGTCACTGTCACCCAGCTTCCCATCAATCACTAGGTCGCTGATTAGGTCATCCCCAGTAGCCAGTACCAGGTCGAGCAGCGCTTTACTTTTCGTTGGCCCATAGACTTGAGTCAGGTAGAGGTCATCCACGCACAATAAGAAGCTTTGTGACTGCTTTGATTTTGCTGAGTGATCCTCCCATGAGATGTCTGGGTAGTTGAAGTCACCCATGACAACCATGGTCCTGGAGTATGTGGCCTCAGCCAGTTCCTTGGTGAACTCCTGGTCAAGCTCTTGACTTTGGGTGGGAGGTCTGTGGTAGACTCCCACCGTTGTGTCCCCGTGCTGTGTTCCCCACGGATTTTAACCCAGAGGGTCTCCCCGTGCTTCTCTCCACAAACAGGAGGGTTAACTATCACTTATCGAATGAGCTTTAGCTCAAGTACCCCTGCTGCCATTTTGAAGCACAGGGATGCTAATACACAAGATGCTGCAGCTCTTTAAATAGAGTGGCTCCTGGAGCCACTCTAATTAAAGCACCCTGCCCCCGATGGATGTGTAAAAGTGCCGAGAGAGACTATCTTTGAGGCTGAGAAATGATTATTTGTTCCCAGTCAATCATTGGCTTCTCTGTTGTGTACATTGGGTAAGTTCTAAGCAATGTGGATACCTGACCTCTTAGTGGTTGATTGAGGCTTAATTATCCTTTTAGATTTCTCGTCAGTAGCAATCAAAAAGTAAAAGCTGCCTGTCACTATTGGGCTCAATAGCATTTGAATTAACTATGGAAGGCCCCATCTTGTATTACAAACATCTGCAGCTATGCATTCCCCCTTATTTTAATGGAGCTATTACTATGGTGTTGGAGGGCATAAGAGTTTCACAGACATTATGTGGCAATGGAAAAGGGAGTATCAGAGAGTAGAAAGATGGAAAGCAAGCAGAAAGAATGTTTCCAACTATCTGAAGGAGGGTTCAAAAGAGGACGGAGCTGGCCTGTTCCCAGTGGTGGCAGATGACAGAACAAGGAGCAATGGTCTCAAGTTGCAGCAAGAGAAGTTCTGGTTAGTTATTAGGACAAACTTTCTTACTAGGAGGGGAATAAAACACTGGAGCAGGTTACCCAGAGAGGTGGTGGAAGCTCCATCCTTGGATGTTTTTCCAGCTAGACAAAGCTTTGGCTGGGATGATCTAGTTGGAGATGGTCCTGCTTTAAGACTAGATGTGACCTCCTGAAGTCCCTTCCAACTCTAATTTTCTATGATTTTATGATACTACAGCAGTCAGGTAGGTGATCCAGTCAGTGATATGATGGGATATGATTACTGTCTGTATACACTTCAGGGAGATAAACACCAGGGAGGAAAAGAGCTATAAACTCAGTGTTGGCACATGGGTATAAAACAGCCATGAATAAATTTAGGCTCAAAATTAGAAGCTCTCTACCCATTACAACAGTAAGTTCTGGAACAGGCTTCCAATCAGAGTAGCGAGGTGAGAAAAATCTAACTTGATTCCAGATGCATCTTGATCACTTTATGAAGAGGCTGCCTGTGACAGCAGGATAAATTAAAATTAATTCACAATAAATCAGAAAAGCAGGCTATAATGGCATGAACTGGAATTTTCAGAATAATTGGTGCCCAGCCTTATATAGATACAGAACCTTTTTATTTTACTATCTTTTGTGAAGTCTAAGCCAGCTTGGGTTTTTCTGGTAATTCTTGCTTTAGCCATATACTTCTTTATCTCTGAGACAGACTGCTCACAGGGAATTTTTTTGTTGTTGCATTCTCAGAGGTCAAAGTCACGCTTCAAGCTAACACAATACAACACAGGCAGTGGCAAAATGAAAATTTCCTAAATTTCCCTGCTGTCATGCCTTCAACACTCCTTCTGGGGAAGGTCCTGTAGTGAACAGGGGCCATAAATACTAAATAGCTTTGATGCTACATCATAATGAGTCATAACTTGAGATGCATCCCTACCTTCTCCCGGAAGGCATTCTCCCATGATCTTCTCTGTTTGCATTCTTTCAACAGCAATAAAAGCCACGTGGACTATGGAAGCCAATATCTCCTTTCTTCCGCTGTTGCACAAGGTATGGACAATGATGCTTGTAAATCAGCAGTGGATTAACCAAGATAATATCTAAACCACAAAAAAGGTTGTTTTCAAGCAAAATTGGCCAACTTACTGTCTTTGGGCTTGTTTGTTGTTCTGTCTGAGGTATGAGGAAAACTAAAGGAAAAAACAGATACCATTTTCCCTAGAAAGACTGGTTTTCAGATGACTTATGCAACAATGGTAACATAAAACTGGAGCATAGTTGATTTGCTGGAAGCATTCAAAATGATGCCATTTTACTTTTTTACCTCACTGGCAGAGCTGGTATGCTGGAAAGACTAACCCTAGGGTAAAACAGGTAATATGACCTAAATGTGAGTCTCTCCTGTATGACAAATGTTACAGAAGGGAGGGGTGAAATTTTCTATTGAGGAGAGCACAAAAGAAGGCTAGCCCCAGTTTCTTTCTTGCTCAGGCATGCTGCCTAGTGCACGTGCACCTTACGTTGTGAAACTTGAGATACTCTGCTTGTTTCTACCTTGAAAGTCCTGTGCCTTGCAGTTACCCAAGAGATGCAGTTTCAGTGGCTGGTCAGGAAAGGTGGACTTACTCAAATATTTACTCTTCATATGATGACATGAAAATCAGCTTTGCAACAGCAACAGGTGTGCTGCCTGTGCTAATATGTTTGGCTTGCTTGGAGTCGGAGGAGTCTAGGGGGCCTCAACATACAGCACTGAGGATGCAGGACAAAGATAGTTGTTGCATTTTTAGCATCCCAGGTAGGTGAGAACAAGTGAATACATTTCCATTTCTTTCTGTTCTTTTAGTTACTTGGGACCCAAATGTGTACACACTGCACAACTCCATTGACTTACGGGAGACTTTGTGGTGACATCAATGCAAAAAAAAAATTGGGAATGAATTTAGCGCTTTTGTAATTCAGGACCTCATAGCATCAAATTAAGTCAAGTTTATTGCAGGACAGGTGTTGTATGAGTTTTCCCCAGACAGCTCTGCCAGTTCCACTTAGGTCTTTACCTGGCAGCATGCAGGCAACCCCATGCCCAGGTCAGTCTTGAGCACAGACTGGTCAACTGCGGTAAATGGTACAATGAATCTCAAATGGATGTAAGGGGAAGTACATGTAATTATCTCCATTTATAGACATGAAGAGATGGAGGCTGAGAGAAATTTCCCCCCAGGCACACAGTGATAGAAATCTGTCAAGGAAGAAACTCTTAAATACCTGATTCACAGGCGTCGGGGTATATGAATTGTAGCCACGCAGATAACTGAAAGCTGAGCCATAGTAAAAGGTAACAATCCCAGTAATTTCCCAGGCCCGTGCTGCAGATTATGCAAATGGAAATTTCCAATGAATGTAGGAGTATTCAATAAATACAGCGCTCTTCCTCTGTACTTAGAGAGCAATATTACTGCCTCTATGCAAAGGTTATAATTTAAAGAAGAAGCATCCTGTCAGCCTGCAGACTGTACCAGCTAGAAGGTAAAGCCTGAATCAGTAGAGATTTTCCCCCACAAATTAGCTGAGGGGGCTTTTATTTTTATTGGACTTTGCTGCTTTTGAGCAACTACATACTGAATTCAGGGAACAGGTAGGTTTGCTACTGAAATAGGTTTATTTAGGAAACTCTAAGATCTCAGGATTGTTAAATCTTTTTTAATGGCTAATTCCTAGAAAAGATCATTGTTTTGAATCACTTCCTTTCCTCTTCTGGCTTGATGGATAGAGAGATTGCTCCCTACTGTCTTTCTCCTTTTTTTGCTCGGTTCCATGCCCTCTTTTGAAATATTGGAAGTATCTCTCTGGTATCTCTCTGGTCTTCTGTTAGCAGAATATACATTCCCATCCGAGGCTGCCACAGCCTGACTAGAAGGGAATACTGGAAGGACATATTTATTTATGATCCACAAAGGGAATCTACAACTTAGACTCATCCTGATATTCTGCAAGACATCTGAGCTCCACTGAGCTAAAGTTCATGAGTTTAAAAGCTTTCTGTTTTTTCACAATATCACTGACACCCTCTCTGGTCATTTCTTAACCGCTTCCCTGAATTCAATTGTTCATGTGCTACGGCAGGATCCTTCGAGCCAATGACTAAAGTTTGAAATGGTAACTAAGTCACGTACGAACCATTTTGCTGACACGCCTGGTTCCTGGAGTCACTTCTAGGGGTAGGCCAAATTGACTGGGAATGTGCAGCATGCTGATTGCAGTCAATGCACTCTTGTTAAAACTTCACTCTCAATGCTTAATCCGTGCTTAATTGTTAGACTCCCTTCTGATGAGGCTCTGTGATCATTACTTGAGCCAGCCTTCAATGCTGATTACACACTTCCTGTTCTTTCTGTTGCATTATTTATTAATGACGGTTTCCCTGCAAATTGTGTGCATGCTCTGCTAGCAGTACTTTGGGGAATGCTACCAAAATTAATTTCTGTTCAACTCATTTTGTAGACGTCTCTGGTCCTTACCACTTGCCCAATACAGAACCAACTGCACCTCCTATGGAACTGGTGGACAATGTCACTGGAGCTGAAAGTGACGGTTCAAGAGATTGTGGTATGTACTATCTTTTGCATATGCATCCAGGCTATTTATTCCCCTGAGGCAACATGTCTCTTTCTCTCTCTCTCTCTCTCTCTTAAACAATAAACTCTTGTTAGCACTGTAATAGCACTCAGGACTCTAATTTTTTAAGGTGCTATGTAGATGCATAGTAAAATGGCAGTTCCAGCTTCTAATCTAGTTTATGGTACAATGCAACAGGTGAATGAGAATAACAAAAAGGTGTAGGATAATGTTGGGAGGATGATGATCAGCATGCAAGTTACCTTATAATGAGCAGAGATGCTAATTCATCATGTGCATCCTTCTAAACCAGCAGCAATGCATGTTACTGGGTATGACCAGCTAGTCTTGCCTTAATCAACTATTCTTGATGTTGTTTCTCTGCAGGAAAGAATAGTTTGCCTGCCCAGGTTGATCTGCTGTCCCAAGGAAAGCACAATGATTCCACTTCACAACAGAACGAGTGGAGGTAAGATACCCTTTATGCCTCTACTCCAGTCCTTTTGTACTCGCTTTAACATCATTCGCTATTAAGGACAGTGAAATCACAGTGTAAGTCCTACACCAGATTTCCACATTTAATTTCTTTATTTAGCTAGATAAATGAATGCTGAGAGCTATCAGTCTTGTTGATTGGAAGCTGACTGATGCTATCTTGACTTTGGGCCTGATGCTAATCCTTTTGAAGTGTTATGGGAACTTTCATATTTAGCATTAGTTAATAATAGCTGGTTTTAGAAAGCTGGTTTGCTTGTTGTCTCTTCCCACTGCCTGGAGGGTTTCTCTTTAAATTGAAAAAATGAAGGCAAACATTTTAAAATAAAGCACTTCGCTTTCAATTTACAACAGAAAATAGAATAAACAATGAGAAGAGGATAAGACTGAGCTAAGCTGTTGGTCCACACCCAGCATTTGGCTTCAGAGCAACAGTCTGAAGGGATCACTATCTGCTGCTGTATTCAAGCACTGATTCTGAATGCTGACATTGGGGAATTTAGATCTGAGCCTGGACACATCTGATTTCGCACTCCAGTATTTAGGAACTTTAGGATTGAGAGATCTGATTTGTGGGTTTGAACTACAGCCAAGATGTAGATTAAATATTGGGGGAGGGAGGGTTCCTTAACTGAAATGCCATGGTACAATAGAACAAGCTCCCAAGATAAGTTGCAAAGCTCCTTTGGAGTTTTTCAAGAAGAAGTGGGATAAATATCTCTCTGGGCTGATTTAGGAATAATATCCTGCATGTCTGGGGAGGAGAGGGGTGGGGGACCAGACTAGATGATTCTTGAAGTCCCTCCTGATCCTATAATGCCAGGAAGGCTAGGGACAGACATTAAAAAAGCCTTGAGCCTGAATTGATTCAATCTTTTCAGGTTAGTCTAACCGGGCTAGGCTGAACCAGTTTGTAACCGCACAAAAATGGTCAAATTATCTAGGGATGGACATTACACATAAACCTGAAGTGATCAGAAACTGGTTTAAACCTGTAACAGAACAGATGTGCACGTAAATCAGTTTGCGCATGGCTGAAACTGGTTTGAGATAAACCTGGTTGAATGTAGCATCGGACTTAACTGATTTGGCTCAAACCAGTTTATGCAATGTCTGTCCCAGACCCCTTGATGGTTTAAATTAAATCAGACTCACCCAGCATCCCAGCATGGTCTCTGGGCTGGGCGGGGCTCTCTGCTCCACAGCAGGGCTGGCCCCTCCTCTCTGCTCCCTGGCTGCAGCTTTGGCAGAGACTTTTAGGCACAGCAGTGTCTGCCTGCTCCCCCCTTCCCCTCCCCACTCTCTGCTAAGCAGGCATTCCCTGTCCCTCTCAGAGACCTCTCAGTATTAGCTGGAAGACCACATGCTGCCTACTTCCAAGCCGTGCCACACAAGACAAAAACAGAATCAACAGATAGCTGGTAATGTCCCTCTGTTTTTTTAATGGGGTGATAAACACTGAGTTAGGGGTGATAAACATTCCCTGCTGGGCTGTTCAAGATGTGGGGAACCCCTCCCTAATCAGAGCATCCTGTCAGGCCCTGGCCATGCACCCCACAGCTCAGCTCTGTGGAAGGAAGGAAGGACTGCTCCTCCCTCAGGTTAGAAGTGCCCCCCCTGGCTTCTAGCCTGAGCCACAGGCATGCACCTGCATTACTGGGATGTTTGTCTGGTTAAAAAATTGATTTAGCCTAGCCAGGCTAGACTAACCTGCAAAGATTGAATCAATTCAGGCTCAGGCCTTTTGAATGTTGGTCCATAGCCACAAACATCCCTTCTGGACTTTAAAAAATGCAGGCACATGCCTGCAGTGGTTCAGGCTAGAAGCCAGGGGATGCTAGAGCAGCCCTCCCTGCCCTTTCCCAGTGCTGAGCTGAGGGGGAGGGGGTATGGCCAGGCCCTGGCAGGATGCTCTGATTAGGGAGAGGTTCCCTCCACTGCTCCTGTGATGGAGCCAGCAGGGAGTTACATAGCATTTCACAGCAGGGAGTTGATACATTGCTTATCAGCCCATCAAGAAAACAACAGCCTTTCTCATTAGTTCAAGCTTTTCTTTTAACTCCAAAAAGCCCTAATCAGACACTGTCCTGTCTTCCTTTGTCTTGTCTACCTTACACAGACACCTGTCAGCATTAGCTAGCAGACCACATGCTGGCTACAGAGTGTATGGGAGAGGAGAGGGGGGAATCCCTGCTTGAGCAGGGAGTAGTGGTGGAGGGGTGGGGAGTGCAGGAGGAAGCCAGGCAGATGCTGCTGTGCCTGCTGTCTCTGCTGGACCTCCAGCCAGGGAGCAGAAGGGAGGGGCCAGCCCAGCTCTTTGGAGCAGAGAGCCCTGCCCAGGGCTGCAAAGCATCTGGGATGCTGGGGGACTCTGGTTTAAGTTAACCTAGGAAAGGGTCTGGGAGAGACATTGCATTAACCAGTTTGACCCAAACCAGTTAAGCTGATACTACATTCAACCAGGTTTATCTCAAACCGGTTTCAGCTAGTCTCAAACTGGTTTATGTGCACTGAGCTTCTTTTCTGTTACAGGTTTAAATCAGTTTCTGATCTCTTAAATCAGTTTGTGTGTAATGTCTGTCCCTAGCTAATTTGAACATTTTTTGTCATTGTTTGGTTTCCCATTGAAAAACTATTGTACAATTCAGTCCGGACTTTTGCAAACAATCGTAGTGTAGGAAATTTGAGAGTCAAAGTGCCCTGACTTTTAGATACTCAGTGATAGATCTTAAAGCAGCCATAGGAACCCTCTGAAAATCAGATGGATAGAAAAGGATATTCTATGTGGACACCCAGAAGTGAAGCATGCCTAATTGCAAGTCACTTTTGACAATCTTTACTGAGATATGACTTTTTCCCCCCTTGCTGTTTAAAAAAGCCTCTTCTTGAGAAGCAAATGAACCGTCCAGTTTCTCAGCCTTTTGTTTCCTTTTCTAGCATCCCACCTATTTCTGAGCATGAAGCCAGAGAAGCTTTCCTAGAGTATGCAGCTAGCAAGTGCTGCTATAGGACTGCCCCTGCAAAACACATGGTGGTCCAGAACCTGACAGCATGCAACACATACAGAGTGAGTACAGTAGCAGGCAAAACTGCATGGCAGGTTTATTCCTGGTCCTGTTGCATTAGCCTATGGCTTCAGACACACATCACAGATATAAAATGAAGCTGTGGGAGATATTCACAATAGTATTTGATAGATAGGCCCCACCTTGCAATTTTTCCCACTAAAATGGGCCCTTTTCAGCTAAGATGGGCCCTTTTAAAAACGGTTTGTTCTGATAGAGAGTGATTTCTTCAGAGGAACCATGGGAAACAAAGCAAAAACCTCTGCAGTGCAATCCAGAAAAGGATTTTTTCCCCTTCACTGTAAAGCTGGCCAGAAGAACATTAGAGATTTCTTTAGGGTGGACAGGTGAGGTGAGGGCATTTCCCTAAGTGTTGGGGTCAAATATCAGTGATCAAAATTGTTAGGTGATCTTTTCTTGTGCAAATGAAGCAGTTTCCTGTACAGGTCTTCACCAGGGCTCGAGCCCCGGACATCCTGCCCTGAAACATGGATCTCTCTCAGTGGTGCTAAACAACCAGTTTCCATGGAGTGAAGCATCACTGCTAGATTGAGGAACCTCCAGGGTTTGTCTGTACTGCCCCCTGCTAGACCCAGAAGCATCACTGTGAAACACGTCTTTCCCACCCCCTCCCTTTCTGCGTGAGCCAGTCCGTAAAAATCAGTGGAGCTGTCTTAGAGGGTGCACACTGCCACTCTTAGGTTCTCAGGTGTGCTCACTGGCATATACTCAGGACCATGCTACATTGCTTTGCATGCAGGGTTCAGCACACATGAGCATGAGGAAGTAGGAGACCTATGTTTCATGATGGTGCTTCTGGGAGGGAGGTGGTGTAGACACCCATGCTCTGGTGGTTTTGTGGTTATATCTTCCCTATATCAGGACTTCTTGGGCAGTTGGCCAGGACACAGCCTTATGCTCCACAGTTCAGTCATCTGTGATTTTCCTTGTTCTACTGTTCTGTCCAATCCATGTCCCTGAAACCAGGACTGTGGTTTTTATGTTTGCTTGGGAGCAAATCCTACTGTCACAGAAATCAGTGGAGGTTGTGGCACTGACTTCAGTGGGACCAGGATTAACCTCCTCACAGTGAATAAAAAGCACTGTTTCACTGAAGTTGACTCTGGTTTGCTTTTATCAGTATCGTCTGAAAACCTTCACTGAAAACAGAGAAACGTATCCAGCCAGCGAACCATATAACGGTAAGCAAATCATAGCTCTTACCTATCAGAGAACAGATACAACATGATGTAGTGTTTTGGGGAGTTACTGTGTCATTGGACTTACAGGCTTTATGAATGATCTTGTCCAGCATGCATGAACCAACTCAGTGATCAGCCTGAAAAAGAGAAGACTGAGAGGGGACTTGGTAGTGGCTTACTGCTACATCAGGGGCATACATATAGGGCTCGGTGAGCAACTGTTCACCAGGGTGCCCTTGAGGATAACCAGGATAATGGCCATAAACTCCTGGAAGACTGTTTCAGGCTTAACATTAGGAAAAACTCCTTCACAGCTTGGGTCTCCAGACTGTGGAATAAGCTCCCTCCAGAGGTGGTGCAATCGCCTACCCTGGAGATCTTCAAGAGGAGACTGGACGGTCACTTTGCTGGGGTCACTTGACCCCAATTGTCTTTCCTGCTTGGTGCAGGGGGACTGGACCCAATGATCTTCCGAGGTCTCTTCCAGACTCACAATCTGTGAATCTATGATATGAGGCTGAAAATGTCAAAAGGGACTACTGGTATCAAGTACCCCAATTTCTGAAATGAAACCTGAGGCCTAATTTCAGAAGTGCAATGGTTATGCTGCTCCTATTGGCTTACACTGAAACAAGTCCCCACAGAAAAGGAGACAGGAGTGAGGAAATTGGTGAGGGAGGGTGAATGTGCCATGGGTGCCAGAAACTGGAAGCCAACCTCTTTTGCAGTCCACCCTTATTTTCTACTTTTCTGGGCTGACTTGCTCTAGGCTTGGTCCATGGTTGTTTAAGTGGGCTGCCTTTGAATGGGCTGCGGATTAGGCCTTATGGTTTTTCACAGACTCATGGGCAATAGCTTGGTTAGGGAACTTTTCCCACCATCTACTGCAGTTGCCTTTTATAATAAAAGGAAATAGCATGATTTTTTAAAATTTCAGACGGATGCTCTTTAACAGGATAGAAAGCAGCTTGTTATAGTCATTGTGCCTGATGTAGAATTAACTTCCCCATTGACTCAAGTGGTCTGAAGCTGTTTCTTTTTGACCTTAGAGCTACATGGATTGTAACATCCTTCTGGCTTTGGGAAAGAAATCATGGGGGTAGGGAGTTGGGGGGGGTGGGGAAGGAAGCTGTTTAAATCTCAGGGGTGTGGATGCAGTGTAAAAAAGGAGACAAGGGTTGGATTAGTTAAGTTTATGTAGCCTTATACGGTTATAAACGTAGGCTTTACTAGGCAGGCTCTTTGGCCCATGAAGCATAGTGACCTTGTGTGGGTTAGCTGAAGGAAAGTGCAAGGAGCTTGCTGCCGGAGGGTGAGTCACAATTCACGAAAATTGTTCAAAATGGGGAGGAGGCGGACCCCACATCAGTCTGAGAGATGGCCACTAGTAAGGCTGGAAGAGACTGCGATATCCTTACAGATGGTACAGATTCCATATGCCTCCCTCGCACCAGAGACTGGAGGGAGAGTTTATGTCTCCTGTGGCTGCCTCTGTGGTGCTGTAGCTTTGCTATGTTTGTGGCCAAAGTAGGCTTGAGTCCAGGACAGATCAGCCATGCTCCATAATCCTTCCCAGCTGATCAGTGATTAACTGGGTTCCTTGAGGCATCTAGTGGGTCTCAGTACAGATTCATAGATGATTAGGGGCTGGAGGGGACCTTGCAGATCATCAAGTCCAACCCCCACTCTGCTCTAGGCAGGAAGACAACTGGGGTTAGGTGACCCCAGTGAGGTGACTATCCAGTCTCCTCTTCAAAACCTTCATGGTAGGTGACTGCACCACCTCTGGAGGGAGTTTATTCCACAGCCTGGACACCCTGACTGTGAAGGAGTTTTTCCTGGGATTGAGCCTGAAGCAGCGTTCCAGGAGTTTGTATCCATTGGTCCTGGTCTTCCCCAGGGGTGTCCTAGTGAACAATTGTTCACTGAGCTCCTGATAGCATGATGCTGTTAGGCTCTGATATTGCACAAGTGAAGTCAGTGGGAGGTTTGCCACTAACTTAGAGTTCATAGACAAGTATGGCTGGAAGGGACCTCAAGAAATCATGTAGTTGAACTGGGGATTGAACTTGCAACCTCAGTGTTATTAGCACTAGGCTATAACCAATAAGATCAAGCTATTAGAATGAACGCAGATCCTAGGGAGCAAGTGCTGTTATCCTAGAAATCACAGGTCCTAACTAGTACCACTCACCCCTATGATGAATTCCTGCAGAACAGGAGCAGGGCGGCGAGGGGGACGGAACGTATGGAAGAGATCAAATGCTAGTGACTGAGGTGCATTTGTTTTGTGGATAAACTTATGACAGCCATGGACTGGGCACACTTCCACTGCATTAATTTGATATATGCATCGTGTTAAAAGGCAGGTCTGCTGGTGATGTTTTTGCCTGTGCCATGCTATCCCGAAGCTTTACAACCTGCCGCACTAACTCCTGACTGCCTTTTCTTTCTTTTGCTTTAGGTGGCTTTGTGGACTCTCCTGATGTCGCAGAACCCCCCGCCCCTTGGGAAATAGAAGTGGATGCACCTCCCCTGTTTACGGACTGTGAAATGCATTTCCCAGTGCCTCACACCTATTCAGTACAGGTAACCTCAGCCTTTCTTGCCCCAGACATAAGAGTCTTTTAAAGGAGTATTACTTATTTCACAAAGGCATCTAGTAGAAGACTCATTTGAATTAGCTCTGCATTGTGCAAATTACATATTAAGAGCCCACTCGCATCCTGAAAAACCTTGCAATCAAACTTCAGACAAAGGGTGAGAGAAGTCAGATATTATCCCCATTCTACAGATAGGAAACCAAATGCCATAGAGATAAGCATCATGCTATCCAAAATGCAGAAGACTGGATTATGTATTAATTTTAAAATCGCTTTTCTATAATATTTCTGTAATTTTGTTTGATATGTCTTTGCAAATGCATACAGTTTGGCACAATTATTTTGACTATTTGAAACAGCCATTCTGGGATATTATATTTATTGCTTCTTCCCATCATGGCTTAGGATAAGAGAAGATAACTCTGGATTCTGGCAGGGAGCATTGTTTTTGCTGCTCAAAATAATGAGATAGTATTTTAATAGCTTTAGATAAAGGATTAGCACTTGTTTTTGGCAAGGAGTTGTTTATGCTGCTTGAAATAGTCTAGAGTGTGCATTTCAAATGGGCAGGCTGCCATGTAAAAGGATTTGTATCCACCCAAAAGAACAAAGCATGACTATTTTTACTTCTGAAATAAAACAAACAATCCAGGCTGAACAATCAACCCAACTGTTTCTTATGCACATGCAATAACGTAGTAAAGAAAATATACATCCAGCTTTTACCCATTTATCAACTAGACTCGTGTATGGAAAGGAGCAGAAATTCTTTGAGTGCATATTTCAGTGGGAAGATGACACAAGCTTTTTATTTCTGCTTCTGGTGCAGTAAGCATTTAATTTCATGATTGAATTTTGGGCCATGCTAGGGATTGTAGCTTTCTTTAACAGTGGGCTGACAGCATAAAGGAAAATTAGACTGAAGTAAGTATGCTGGCTTGCAGGGTGTAAAACCAATGGGCATGTCTGCCAGCAAAAAGAGAAAGGTGCTGCCTTTTTCTTTTAACACAGTTGAGCAGTTTGCTAGCAGCCCTGTACTTATACTGTTCGCTTTGATTTCAGAGTTGTCCCAATTGTCATGGATCTGGTAAAGCCCAGTGCACCCGATGTACTGGATCAGGAAAGGTATGTTAAAACCTCTCTCATGCCCATATTTTGTGTACAGAACAAAGAAAGCACTTACATTTCTTTAAAACAATACTTTGAAAAGGGCATGAAATCCACTCTGCCCATACTTTCCTACTCCTTTCTTTTTCTGAGTTCTTGATGAGCAAATGGCATCAAGATATCAGAGAGAAACAGGCACAGCTAGGAGCTTGTGTCAATTATGTGCATATAATACATTCAGTTTGCATTGGTCTTCCTTCCAGATGTATGGAAGAGATAAAGTCAGGTCTTAATGATTTACTGAGGAAACAGGTGTCTTCTGCTTTCAAAAGAGAGGCAGTTCCTCCAAGTTTTTGACAAATCTCTCAATGAGAAAAGAAAAGGTCAGAAAGGAGTCGTAATTTGTTATATGACAACTAAAGAATAGAAGGTTATGGGCCTGATCCAGAGTCCATTAATATGAATGCACATCTTTCTTTCAGTGAGAGGTTAATCTGCCCCTATGTTACAGGAGAAAAAAAGGCCTTGTTGTGTATATACTACTAAACCTAAATGCAGACCTTTTTGTTAATAAAGACGCAATTAAATATACCCCCAGTGCAACTGGTTTCGAGTCACTACCTAAGGAAGTGATAAGAGCTGGAAGACTCCACAAAAATGGTATTTTAATAAAGTTAGCATAACCCAGAGCACTTGAGGAGGTTTCACGATAGAAGTTGAATGCTGTACCTGTCACCTTGTCTGTAGCCATGCATATTATCTGAACAGATAAAAAGTGGGGTGGGGGAGGGGAAGAGGATAAATACTAGCATCAAATTACAATGGTCGGTGACCAGGATCTAGAAGAAGACAGCATCTAAAGTGTCCTCAAGCCTGTGCATGATTGTGGTATTAAGGACTTAATAGTAGTTAATAAAGAAAAAAAAATCCCCATTTGGTTGTAAATATTCTTCTGGTATTTCACTGTTTGGTGGCTAGCCTGCCTGTCTATAGCCACTTCAGACTCTAGCATGTTCTTCCAGGTTCTCCGTGTAGATTTAGGATGTGAAGTCTGTGAAGGAATTGGCTAGAACCTCTGTGCTGTGGCATCCTGCTGTTAACGAGAACCAGCAGGGCATCTGCCAGTGGTACAAAGCTGCTCCTCTCTAGGTCAGTCGGTATTAAAGTAGAACAACACAGGTGTACCTCTTCTGAGTGCAGTTCAAGCTGGCAAAGGACTTGATGCTCCAAAGGATGCAATGAAAGAGATACAAGGATGCAACTTATGGGAAAAAAAAACATGTTCTGTGGGTGATAAGGGCTACTTATGTCAGAAATGACTCAGAGGCATGGGCCCCCTCAATCATTTCCTAAAAAGGAAGAAATCATAGATGTAGAAGGAATTCTTGCCTCCTGTTCGTAGGCCCCATTCTGAAATTTGTAGCTGTTAGTTTCTCATGTGCATGTGAGCCCTGCAAATATGGATGGATTCTGCTTCCATCTTTAGATGCTGATACCAAGTTATAAATATCAGCTAAGATACAGAACAGAAAGATGATAGCAGAGCAGTGTGGACCAAAGACATCATAATGCAGCTAAATCATGATTTTTATGCTATATTGTTTAAACCGATGGATTCATAAACTTGTTCTACAGTGATATAACTGGAGTTGTGTCATAGCAAGCTGCAGTATTAAGTCTTCTACAATTAGATAGTGTATATGGGGTCATTACTCTGCATTAGGGTAACAGTCATCTATGTATAATGGGCCAGCCTGCAGCACTTAATTTCATGTGGGCCCCCCAAAATAAGAGTGATGTGGGACTAAACTGCATGTGGGTTTTCTGCACAGGGATGCATTCACTACTTTATTGTTGCACAGCTACGTATGCATAGTATATAAATAGATATGCGCTTAAATAAAAGAATGCACTGTCCTGCTAGACCATGCCCATTCTGATCCTTCTGTGTACTGTTATTATGGAGAACGTGGACCAAAAAACCAGAAAGGCAAATTGTTAGAAAGCGCCCTTTTCTGATTCCCTCCCTCTCTTGTTTGACTGTAGGTTTGTTGCTCATCTTGTAATGGGTCAGGCTGGCAATCTGTTAGTACTACCTCGGATATTAGTTCTGGATTTTGCACATTCTGTGGAGGGTCGGGACAAACACGGTAAGAAAAAGCTAAATCATGAGGTGGCAACCTGTATTTCTTTGTGCACTCGGTTTACCAGATGTCTTTTTATTTTTCCTCTTTAACAGTAGGGATAGGCACCAGTAGGAAAAAAGAGCCAAACTAAATGGTAGATTCAGATGATGTTCATTGCAGCCTTGTTATTTTAGATAGCAGGTGAAAAAATGTGCCTTGTTTGTTGATGCTTTTCAAATATGAATGAAGGCATGGAAAATTCCTGTGAGGTATTGCAAGCAAGATCTCCATTTTATGGAGGGTCTTAAATAGAGAAAGGAAACTATGATTCATTAATTGCACCCCATCATGATAATACTGCATCAAAAATAACGAAACCTGAGGACTCCATACTGTAGATATGCATTCCAAGAGAAAATTCCTAAGCTAAATGCCTCATAATTTCACTAGATGGACATAGGTAGAGAAAAGGATATGTCTATATGACAGAAGGCAGCACATTGTGGAGAAGCGTAACATCACATGGAAGCAGAGATGTTGCTTTTTCTTTGGGAGTGACTGTGTGCAGGGCTATCTTGGATGTCTGTAAGCAGTGCTGTTTGCACTGTGTAGATGCACCCAAGTGTGAGGAGGAGGAGACATTTAGGAGATATTGGGAGTGTCTACATGTGCATTTAAGTGTGCCTAAATGTAATGCGCATTAGCTTAATGCACATTAAGCAAGTTTAGGTAGGTGTTTACACGTGCAGGCATTTAAGTGCATTAATGCTGTATGTGGATTGTCCCAAAGTTAGTCCCAAGTCAACCCACACACAGAGCATTAACATGATTTAACACGTCTACATGTGCATTAATGCACTTGAACTATTCACACCTAAATTCACCATTTTTAATGTGCATTAAGGGCACATATGTGTAGATGTGTTCCCTTAACATGCATTAAAGCATCACGTGTAGATGTGCCTACCCCTAAAGCAAGTGCATTGATATTGTGTTTCCTTTACAGTTGCTTCCACTGTTATGGTCGTGGTTGGGTGCACTGTGCCCGTTGTAATGGAAGAGGCCTTTTGCTATACCATTCTGAACTTACAATCATTTGGTGAGTTGAAATCAGTGACCCTAGGGCTTGACTGTGAGGGTGGTTTGTATTCACGGTGGCTGGCCATTTGCAAACATGCTCATAAGCCAAAACATCAACTACTGCAAACAGACATAGCTCCAGTGAGATTACTCCTGTTAAATCCTATGCTTCTGGTATAGAAGCTATGCTGATTTTTTCCATCCAGTCATGTGGCCCAACATATTAAAGTTTATGGTTAAGATCCTGTGCTTAAAGAGTAGGGAAGGGCTATATGATCCTCCCTGCCATCTAAGACCTAAGGAGGGGAGTACCAGTACAGATGCAGGGGCTAGGTCATGCTGCAAGAGTCTGATGGTTTGAGTGCCTGCCTGGGATGAGGAATTTCGGGATGGGCGCTGGCCAGGGCTAAGGTCTCCTTCCTGATCTGGTATGGAGAGGAGAGCTGAGGAGCTGATGAATGGGGTGCACCTCTTCTTAGAAGATGGGGATGTTGTAGTCTAGAGGTTTCTGCTACTGCCCAGACCTGTGCAAAATCTGAGTTCTCATCTCAACTCTTTGGGGTTTATTATGTTCCAAAAGTGGTTCAGTCAGAACCCCTCTGGCTTTTAAAGAGAGCAGGTCTGTATCCTGGTAGGTTAGGTTACAGTCCAGGATGTGGCAGAGAGAGACCTGGGTGCTATCAAGACTGTATAGAGGAGAAAAAACTAGAACCCAGGCCTTTGCTCTTCTGCAAGTGAGTGGGCTAATGACTAGGCTAAGGGAGGTGGAGTGGGTTTTGCTGAGGGCAAAATGAGTGTATTTATTTGAAAAAAAGAGTCAATCTGAAGTGTGACAGCATGGGCAGGGGTGGTGGGGTGGACGTGGGCCTATGGCTCAACAATAATCTTGGCAGAGCAGAGTTGTGAACCAACAGCCTTCCTCCTCACATGAGGGCACTCAACCACTGGACTGAGACAACCTTCTTTCCCTGGTTCTAAGTTGCTGGGGTTGAACTATGAACTGCTCTTCATGTAAGTTATTCTGCCTAGGGAATGACTAGTTTGCCCATGGTGGTGGTGATACTTTAGTGATTATATTCTCCTAGATAACATCAACACAGAGACTAGCTACATAAAGTGATCGCAGCTCAGGATGCATGAATTTGATGAGCTTTCAGGGAAAGA